TGACATTTGTGTGTTTGTGGACTGACAGGCCTATGTGGCTAGAGGGATGGCATTGAATGAGGTTGAGAAGGAAAGAGTTTGGATTTCATTTGGAGTACAGTGGGAAGCTGAGCTCATAAGCAAGTGTCCCACCCCTTTCAAACCTCCTCATCAATTTTTCTACATCCTTACCCTTTTTGTCAATTTCTCCTTTAATTACAGCCATGTTTCATTGTGCTAGACTGTGAGGTCCCTGAGGGCAAGAATCCTGCAGATTGGGGGGAAAAAAATCCTGCAGGTTGGGAGGGGCCACACCTGCCTTACGAGGGTGTCACAGTGATTTCGTAGATAATGAAAGTGAGGATAGAAAGCACAATACCTGGTATCTGATGGATGCTCAGTAAAGGCCAGTCAAAGTGAAATAAAGTAGAATGCCTTTTGTTTTCTTCTCTCTGAAGAACTGGGAAGCACGCCTGCTGCTGGAGAGGTCATGTGCTGTCAAGTGCCCGGACATTGCCACCCAGCTGGCTGGAACTAAGAAGGTGCAGCAGGAGCTGAGCAGAGTGGGCGTGCTGGAGGTGTTGCTCCCTGGCCAGCCTGAGGCCGTGGCCCGCCTCCGTGCCACCTTTGCTGGTCTCTACTCACTAGACATGGTGTGTGAGCAGTTCATTTCTCCCACCACAAGCCTCCTATGTGGCAGGGACCCAGAGCCCAATGTGTCGGGGAGGCTGGAGCTGGCACTGGGCTGGACTTGGGTCAGTGATGCTCTGTGAGAACCTCTAGAGTCCTTAGGAGTGGGGCTGGAATCCACTATAAACTCTCTCAGCAAAGGTGGAGATGGGATGGTAACCAGAGGAAGTGGCTGAGGCAGACAGCAAGAGTTAGGGAATATCTGTACCCGCTTCCCAGGCCTCCTGCTGCAGACTCCTTAACTGTTGCCAGAGAAAACTTGTTCTCATTGCTGCTGCTGGGTTTTTTGGAGAGGGGTCATATTGAGATAGTAGCATCCAGCCTGAAGAGGCCTATGGCTCTCTCCCCTTCTGCTCTTCCTCTGATGCTGCTCTGCACAACCAGCAGGATCTTAGCTCCTGCCTCTTTGGCATATTACTATTGGTGACTGCTTTCTTGCCTCCTGCCAGGGTGAAGAAGGGGACCAGGCCATCACTGAGGCCCTTGCTGCTCCTAGCCGGTTTGTGCTAAAGCCCCAGAGAGAGGGTGGAGGTAGGTAGATCACATTTACCGGGCTGCTCAGTGAAAAGGGGCTAGCAGGCTGTCACCAGTGCTGACTGACTGGCACTAGTTATGGTCATAGTCCTAGGCTCTGGGAGATAAAAGAGGGCCTGACACAGACCCTCACCTTGGACAGTGTCTCAGGAGACTCTGTGAGCAAGTGCTTTGGAGCACAGGGTAATCTGATTAATCCACACTTCGAGAGTTTAGACAAGTTTAGTCTGAGATGCCTGTGGATGGATTGTGGGGAAGTGAGATGGGGACATATCAGGATGTTAGATGTTTTCCTGCCTAGTTTGAACTCTGTGAGGGCAGGGATCATTTCTGCCTCATAGACCCAGAAGAGATGTTTTTTTTATCCTTTTCTTAAGAGATAGGTAGGAGTTTCCCAGGTGGAAAAGGAGGAAGAGCATTCCGTTCAGAAGGAGAACCTTAAGCAAAGGCACTGGTCCACGAGACTGTGATATGTTTGGAGATTAATGAGTTACTGATGAGACTGGAATTGTGTGGGAGATGGGAGGAGGCAGGGATCCGGGCTGGAAAAGATGGTTTAGGACCTGATTATAAAGGATATTGAATGTCTGTAGGGAACTGGATTTTATCCTAAGGGTAGAACATCATTAGAGAGTTTTAAGAAGAGAAGGGACACACAGTTGATCCAGGATCCACATTCCAGCCATGGTAAAGCATGTCCTGGAGTGAGGGGAGACATTAGTAGCAGAAAGGCCATAGAAGAGGCTAGTATGTTGTCCAGAAGAGCAATGTAGTGGCCTGGGCTAGGGTTATGATAGTGTGGAGTATAGACTGAAGAGAGATGTCTGAGTGGGTGAGGCGATGGAGAGGGAGGAGTTAAATATGACTCAGGGATGCCTTTTGCCTAACAGGTCCAGTAGGGGCAGGTTCTGGCAGAAGTAATAAATTATGTTTGTACATGTTGAGTTTTTTGGGAGCCCATGAAATATCTATGTGAAGTCTAGAGCAGGGAGCTTGAATTAAAGATTTGGGTGTTAACAAGTTATAAGATATAGACGGAGCTTATGGGATATAGATGAAAGTTATAGGATATAGATGAAAAAAGTTTGTGCATAGTCTATGGCCATGCCACCCTGAACAAGCCCGATCCTGTCTGATCTCGGAAGCTAAGCAGGGTCGGGCCTGGTTAGTACTTGGATGGGAGACCACCTAGGAAGACCAGGTGCTGTAGGCATAAAAAATAAGGGATTGTAAACCGACAAGGTCCTTGCAATCTGTGAGGTCAACCAAGGGTTGCTGTGCCTAAAAAAAAAAAAAAAGTTTGTGCATAGCGGAGAGAACAAGGGTGGAAGAATAATTCCTTGGTAATAACATTTAGGAGGGACAGGAGCTAGTCAGAGAGGCTGAGAAGGAATGGCTATAGACAGGGAGGAGGAGAACCAGGGCAGGATGGTGTGGTGGAAGGTGTGTTCATTTGTGTGAGTCAGGGCTCTTCTATTAAGGTGACATTCCCTCCTTAGCAGCCAGGCCTGTCCTGGCTTCACTGAGCTGGAGTCAGGAACTGAGGCTGCCGACTTACCCACATGGCCCCAGAAGTGGGGGCACAGGGTGGAGAAGGTGGGCAGAGGGTCTAGGGTGACTGGCCAGTGGAATTGCAGGTAACAACCTATATGGGGAAGAAATGGTACAAGTCTTGGAGCAACTGAAGGACAGCGAGGAGAGGGCCTCCTACATCCTCATGGAGAAGATTGAGCCTGAGCCTTTTGGAAATTGCCTGCTACGGCCTAGAAGTCCTGTCCAGGTGGTCCAATGCATCTCAGAGCTGGGCATCTTCGGGGTCTATGTCAGGTGAGCCAGTCGGGAGGGGCTGTTCCTTGCCAGACGGCCAGCCAAGGAAGCTTGGAAAGAAACACTGAGAAGGGAGCAGGAATCCTGGGCTTCAGTGCCAGCTCTGCCAATCCCTAGCTGCATTTTTTTTATCTAGTAAGTGAAGCCAAGGACCCAAGACTTCACAGGGCTATCAAAATAAGGCTGGGTGACAAGTATTTTGCAACTATGAAGGAAATTTCAAGTAGTAGCAAGATGGCTGAGAAAATAACCCTGGACTGGAAGGAGACCCCAGGGAAGAAGAGAGCTTGGGTCCAGCTCCCAGGCCTCTGGAGATTCTGGGTAAAGATGGTATGGGCTAGATAGAGGATACTCAGTGGCTTTGAAAAGCCGAGTGGCCCCTGGGTTTGGATTTGAGCAGCGAGAATCAGAAAGACTTGGGAATTTGTAAGGAATAGTTCCTGGTCCCTCATACCACTTCCTGCAAAATACTCACTCCAAGGTCAGAGCAAGGTAGGAATACCAGATCCTACCATGCTGCCCACCAGAGCCTTCCCTCTCTATACTCTTTCCTCCCAACCACTCTGCCTGCCACCCCCAACTCGTCTCCCTCTCCCCACCACTACAGCCATCTTGAGAGAGGTAGAGAAGGAAATATACAACTATAGAACATGACGTGAGCCTAGCATCATGCTCATTGCTTTTCCTGGTTTATTTAATCCTTGCGACCATCTTGCAAAGTGAGAGGTATTATCCCTATTTTAAACTGAGGAAATTGATATTTAGAAAGCCTGAGTAACTTGCTCAAAGATACAGAGCTAATAATTTCTGAGCTAGGATGCAAACCCAAACCTGATTCTAAAATCCTAGCACTTTCTTGGGTGTAGTCAGCCATCCATGTAGTGCTGTCTAGCTGGGACCAGGGAAGGTCCTGGGTTTGGGGGCTGAGTCCAGGTGAGAGTCGTGTATCTTTTGCCCCCCATTTCCATAGGCAGGGAAAGACACTTGTGATGAACAAGCACGTGGGACATCTGCTTCGAACCAAAGCCATCGAGCATGCAGATGGTGGTGTGGCAGCAGGAGTGGCAGTCCTGGATAACCCATACCCTGTGTGAGGGCACATGAAGGCCCGCCCAGACTTCACTCAAGAAACCTTCTATCCCTCATACTTGTCATTCCTCTCCTAGTCCTCCTGAGAGGGGTTCTCTGCCTTCACCTTGGGTGGGCTGTTCTCTTTTAGAGACCTACAAGGTCTTCACAAGGTGAATCCTGGGTACCTCCCATTTGAGGACCAGAAAAGCTGTGTTTCCCTTAGGTGAAGTCTGGATGCCCCTAAATCCTTGGAGTATGGGTACAGCTGAAAGGAACCTGATCTGAGGTCAGGGTTCCTAACCCTGCCATCCTCCTGTCAGTTTGTCATCAGCCTTTTCAGCAGGTCCCAGTGTTTGACTTGGGATAGGACTGAGGAGGGTGGAAGGGCATAGTCTTTCCCTGCCTCTGCCTTAAATAAAACTACATTTCTGATTCTGTGATTCCTTGGTTTGTACAGTATGGGAGGGAGGAGCTATAATCTGGGTCAGCCCAGTTAAGGTGGATTGGAGGAAGGGAAGTGACTTGGCTCGAATCAGAGTTCCCCTAGCTCTACACCCTATGAATAGGGCACTTGTGATTGGACTCTGAAGTTCCAATCCTTAGTCAATCACTAATGTTCCCCAGAATCATAGGCAGGAGAAAGGGTCTCTGGCAGGAGCTTAGGAGGAGGGCAGCTGTGTTGGGACATCACAATTGTGAACTGGCTTCAGTTGCTTTCCTGCTTAGCTCGGGAGCTTGTCAAAGGGCCTATGAGTGAAGCCCTGCCCAAACCAAAAGTTTTAGAAGGAGGATATCGGGGTATTACTGATGAAAACCACTCTCCTTCCCACCCCCACACACAATCAGAGCAGCTAGCAAGTATACAGCCTGTAAGATACCTAAGAAAACAAGTCACCGCCTTCTTGAGGTCACAGACTTTATTTTTACAACCATAGGACTTGAGCACGACCAGGGCGAGAAAAGACAGTTTCATTTGAGAGTGTCTCTCATGGACAGGACTGTTTAGAAGAGGGTGGGAACAGAGGACAAGGAAGACAAGTTCTTCTGGCTTAGGAACAAAACACATTTACTCCTGCAAAGAAGCAAATAATCTGAAAACCGCCTGAAAACTGAGCCTGCCTGTACAGCCCCTGGAGCAAATGGGCAGACAAGCACTGCCATCTGGCACAAAAGACCCGGAAGAGAAGCAGCAGAGTGTTTATAAAAATAATAATTGTTCAGGACTCACAAGCAGGCATTTCTAAGGGCAAGTGCTTACCCAAGATAAGGACTGGTGCTTCCTGAGAGAATTGACATAGGATTACAGAGCTGCCTCTCTGCTTCAGTCTAGGCCCTTACTTGCTCTCTGAACACTTAACTTGATTTGGAGACATGTCTCTGTTCAGAGCTCCAAGGGCTCTTTGCAGGCAGAGCAACCTGAGGATAACCTGGGCCTTGTCCCATCTGCCTGGCAGTCACGAAGTTGCTTCCACCCAGGGGCAAAGCTGATCCTCGGTCCCAGATAGCTAGGTGAAGGAGAGTATGGATCCACCTTGGCCCTCAGCACTCCTGGATGGGGGCAGGGAAGATGGGCAAAACCTTAGAGAGCCAAGTAAGGAGATTCCGGGGTAAAAGGCAGTCTTGTTCACTGGGTGGTCAGGCAGCGGTGGCTGAAGAGCTGGCTGATGACAGATGGGTCAGCCACAGTAGATGTGTCCCCCAGGTCATGGTCATTCTGAGCGATCTTGCGAAGCACTCGCCTCATGATTTTCCCTGGGAGATGATAGACTTCGGGTTACCTGGTGACAAGCACTGACCCACTCCAGCCCTGCCAAAGGCTTCCATCCACACACTCCACTACCACTGGGCCTCAGCCAATCTCAATCCCCATCCTAATTCCTTGAGCCTCTGAACATACCTGAGCGGGTTTTAGGTAAACCAGGTGCATTCTGGATGTAATCCGGTGTGGCAATGGGGCCGATCTTTTCTCTAACTGTAACCAACAAATCATTAAGCATTTCTTCAGTACCCTAAGCCAGGCTCTCCAAAACCAAGGTAGAGATGGCTTTGTTTTCTACGTATTTCCTCTTCAAGGCCCTGCTCACAGAGTTAATCTCAGGCTCACTGCCCATCTGTCCTTCCCTCATTTTAACAGTTGTCTCTTTACTATCTCATTTATCTTACTCCATCTTCATGGAACTCAGGCTCTAGAATCAGTCTGCTAGAGTTGAAATCCCACTTTAGTAGCAGTGTGGCCTCTGACCCTCAGTTTCTTCATCTTTAGAATGAGAGTAACAATAAGATCTATTTCACGGGCTGATTATATACATTTAAAGCACTTAACCCAATGGTAGCACAGAGAAAGAATTCTATAAATGTCAGCCATTATTATCCTAGTGGAGACTGAGTGGGAAGAGGGCAATCAGTCCCTAAGGTCCCCTGGGATGTGTTTGTGGTTTTGGGGAACAGCTCACTTTAGCCCGTTTTCTACAACCTGCTGTGTAACAGGGCCCTGCAGTCCCTGTCCAGAAAGGCTCCTCACTCTGCTTCTTGAGCTCCTCGGTGAGAGTGGGGCTGAAAGTGTAGCCTTCACACAGGGTGACGAAGCAGTAGAGGCATTCGCCCTTCACAGGATGAGGGTGGCTGACCACAGCTGCTTCTGCAACAGCCTGATGTTCCACTAGTGCTGACTCCACCTCTGCCGTGCTCAGCAGGTGTCCTTGTCAAGGGAAAGGAGGTGCCATGAGAGAGATCCCTGCCTTTACCCCAGCCCCTGCTCCATCTGTGCTTAGAGGGCAGTCCTGGTCTGGTCAAATGGGAAAGGCCCTTCATTCATTCCTCACATGACATGCTTTAGTTGCCCCACCATCCTGGTCCCCCTCCTTTAGGCACCTTCCAGTGTTTATCAGTCTTACTCCAAAACCTGGGCAGAGAAATTGAATGCCTTATTCCAAACTTGATCTGGCCAAAGGACGTCCTGGCTTTCTTGAAAGGTTTTACCTGGGAGTTGCTGGGAAAGCAGGGCTAATAAGGGAAAATGGTCCCTGGCCCTCACCAGATACATTCAGCATGTCATCAATCCTTCCAGTGATCCAGTAATAACCATCCTGGTCCCGCCGACAGCCTAGCAAGAGAAGAAATGCACAATGTAATAAATACCACACAGTAGGATGCATTCACATTACCAAACTGCCACACCCACTGCAATAGCTTCCTAATAAGTCTTCCTGCTTTTACCCTTGCCCACTGTGGTGGCCAGGCTCCAAAATGGCCACACTGATCTCTGCCTCCTCATATTCATATCCCTGTGTAGTCCTCTTTTTCACTGTAGTAGCATTAGCCTTATGTGATCAATATAATTTGACAAGTGATGGGATGTCATTTCTGAGATTAGATTATAGAAGACATTGTGGCTTTTGTCTTGGTTGCATTTTCTCAGATCAGCTGCCATGTTATGAATAGCCCTATGGAGAGGCTCAAGTGGTGAGGAACTGAGGGTTCCTGCCAACAGCCACATAAATGAGCTCAGAAGTGGGTCCCCCAGACTCAGCCAAACCTTCATATGACTGCAGCCCTGACCAACAGCTTGATTGCAACCCACGAGAGACTGAATGAGAAGTACCAATTAAGCCACTGTGTTTCTGATCCTCTAAAATGTATGAGATAATATAATATTTGCTGTTTTAAGTTTCCAAGTTTGGGAGTAATTTGCTCCATAATGATAGATAATTAACACATCCACCTAAAGTCTGTTCTCCATAAATTAGGCAAAGTTTCTAAGCAGTAAATCGGTTCTCATCACTTCTCTGCTCAAAGCCCCTAAAAGTCTCCCACTGTACATTGGATACAATCTAAACTCACTGTGGCTCACAAGGCCCTGTCTTGTCTACCTCTCCAACTTCATATAACATTCTTCCCTTTGCTCACTTCACTCTGGCCACACGGACTTCAGTCTGTTCCTCAGATGTTTCAAGCATTTCTCTGCATAGAACATTTCACACTTACTCCAAATTTTCCCATGCCTGGCTCCTCACCCTTCAGGTCTGTGGTCAAATGTCGCTTCAGAGAAGTTGTCTCTTAATACCCCACAAGCTTATTTACTTTTTTGCTGAGTTTATTTTCTGTCTCTCCTTACTAGAAGGTAAGCCCCATGAGAGCAGAGACCTAGCCTACCTTATTCATGGTAATAGTCTCTATGTTTCGATCAGTGCCTAGATGCAGTAGGTGCTCAATAAATATTTGTGGATGACTGGAATGGTAATGGGCACATGGGCAAACACAGCCTCCAGACGTGGAGACACACATGACATTGTAATACACATTGCCATATGTCCCATCTCAACACAGGAGCAATGGAAATAAGAACCTCTTTCCTTTTTCAGCAAAT